GCTAAACATTAGGAAGAACTTCCTGACAGAGCAGTTCCTCAGTGGAGCAGACTTCCTCAGGAGGTGGTGGGCTCTCCTTCTTGGGAGGTTTTTAAACAGAGACTAGGTGACCATCTGACAGCAATGCGGATTCTGTGAACTTGGGCAGATCATGAGAGGGAGGGCAGGACGGGTTGCACCAGTGCTTCATTCGTGTGGCCATTTCTTACATGCCCAGGGAAATGCCGATCACCACTTTGGGGTCAGGAAGCAATTTTCTCCAGGTCAGTTCGGCCAGGGATCCTGGAGGGTTTTTTTTTTTGGGGGGGGGTTGCCATCTTCCGGACATGGAGCAGGGGTCACTGGGGGTGTGGGGGAGGTATTTGTGAATTTCCTGCATTCTACAGGGGTTGGACTAGATGACCCTGGAGGATCCTTCCATCCCTATGATTCTATGATTCTGCAATTAGTATCTTACAAGTGGGGTCCTTCAAAGACTTGCATGGAGGATCATCTCATTTCCCCCTCCCCCACCATTTCCTCTTTCTCCTCCCTGAAAGCCCTCATAGCTCCTCCCCTTTTCCTGTTTCCTCTTCTCCTTCCCACCACCAGCCAGCCTACCTTTATCTGCCTCCTCCTGTCTTCAACTTTCTCTCCTTCCCTCCACCTGGCAGCCAGGAAAATTCTGCCCGAGCTCCGAGGTTATGGAGTGCCACCCACCAGGTTTGGGCCTCACTGCTCTGTGGGGTGCCCCCATGGACTTGTAGGGGGCATCCCACTTTCCCCTGTATATTCTTCCCCACACACAGAGTGTAGTATGGTAGTCTGAGCTGGATATAATCAGAGCACTGGTAACTACAGCCAATGTATTGTCCTATGCAGTTCAGCCCTGTGCAACAGCCTGAACGAGAACACAGGCTGAAAAGCCCAAAGAAAGCTTTACTGGGGTGGTGGTGGGGAGGTTGTTTCTGCTGGAAAGAGAAAGAAAATTATTTCACTTGGAACTTCTCACTAACCCAAGAAACTCAGCATTTTGAAATAAGGGTTTTTGAAATTCACTGCCACAGGAAGTGGTGACGGCTACAAGCATGGACGGCTTCAAAAGGGAATTAGATAAGCATATGGAGCAGAGGTCCATCAGTGGCTCTTAGCCACAAGGTATAGATAGGGGCTCTGGGGCAAGTAATGCTCTGTCTTCTTGGTGCTAGGGAGGGTCAACAGTGGGAGGGCTTCTAATGTCCTGGCCCCACTGGTGGACCTCCTGATGGCACCTGGTATTTCTGGCCACTGTGTGATACAGAGTGTTGGGTTGAATGGGCCTTTGGCCTGATCCAACATTGGCGTCTTTTATGTTCTTATGTTGTTATCTTGTCTCTTGGGAGATTTCCTTCAGTCCTTTCACAAGTCCCTAACCTATTGTTTCCCTAAGGTAACACAGGATGTGTGACTTATTCCTGCCTCTTTATTGGCCTCTAGTACCTATACTAGATGTCTGAGTTCTTTTCCTTTACCTGGGTGAAGTCTAAGTACCTAACTAATCTCCTGGTAGTTTTCTCTGTTTCTCTTTCACTTCCCCAAGTAGAGTTGCCGGTCCCCCCCACCCCCCGGTGGCCACTGGCAGGGATGGGGGGGGGCGTAGGGTTGCCAGGCTGGGAAACTCCTGGAGATTTGGGGGCGGAGCTTGAGGAAGACAGGGACCTCAATGGGGGACAATGCCATAGAATCCACCCTCCAAAGCATCCATTTTCGTTGGGGAGAAAGATCTCTGTAGTCTGGAGATGAGCTGTAATTCCAAGGGATCCCCAGGTCCCACCTGGAGGCCTGTCTGAGGCATTGGCCGATTTTCCTTGCGCCTCGTTCTATTCTGTTCTGACTGATCTCATCAGCTCTCAGAACCTAACAGGGCAGTATTTGGTTGGGAGGCTACTAAGAAATACCAGGGTCGCTGTGCAGAGGCAGGCAATGGCAACCCACCTTTGAACATCCGTTGCCTTGAAAACCCTAGGCGGTTGTCATAGGTCAGCTGCGCCTTGAGAGCAGAAAAACCAAAACCCCGCTCGTCTCCCCCTCCAAGAGGTTCTGCAACCTCTTATTGGCTGAGGCTGCAAAGTATCTGCATACGCCCCCTGTAAGTGGGGATTTGCTGCGATGCCTGGAAGGCAGAACTAGAGGCTGTCCAGCACAGGTGCCAACTAGGATTTGTGGGGGGCGGAAATCTCTATTTTCCCTGTATCTTTCTCCCTGCACATAGAGTATCATATGATAGTCTAACCTCTGAGCAATGATGACTGTGACAGATGTGATATCCCAATGATGGCGAACCTTTTAGAGACCGAGTGCCCAAACTGCGACCCAAAACCCACTTATTGATCGCAAAGTGCCAACACAGCAATTTAACCTGAATACTGAGGTTTTACTTTAGAAAAAACAACTCATACATTAACTTAAGATGATCCAAACAAAGTAAGGAAAGCAATCCCAAATGCTTTCATTTACTTAAAATTATTTGGCAGAGAATTCGACACTTTAATGACGGCCTGGGCCTGGCTGGGGCGATGGCACGCGTGCCCACAGAGAGGGCTCTGAGTGCCACCTCTGGCACCCGTGCCATAGGTTCGCCACCACTGTGATATCCTATGCAGCTCAGCCTTGTGCCATAGCCTGAATGAGCGCACAGCTTGAAAAGTCGGAAGAACATTACCAGTCTCCCTTCCCCGTTTGTGTCGTCCCTTGTTAGGGGGACTTCCCGCGCCTATTTACTTTGGAGCACTGATTGACAGAACCTGCTTGAAGTGGGGTATGAAACCCTGTGGCGAAACAGGGGCTTGCAGGGTGTATGATACTACAGCATTCAGGTGAGTTCCGAACCAAAAAAATCCCATTTGGGAAGGGGTGGTGGCTCAGTGGTAGAGGTCATGAGGGTCCCTGGGTCACCTGATGAGCAACTTCTGCCCAAAGTAGACAGTATGAGCTAGACCAGGGGTTCCCAACGTGTTGCCCATGGGCCTGTTGACACCTTTCCTGGTGTCCCCAAGTTTTTAGAAAGTGTGTGTGGTCAGGTGGGGCTTTTGCCCAGCAGAGCTTCTGGTTGGTCACTGGACAGTTGACTGGCTGTGCAGATTTTTAAAATCCTCAATTTGGCAGTAGCTGTCAGCACTGCACAAGGAGCATCACTAGGTGTGCACAGGATTTTTTTTTTTAAGTAGTCGGGTCTATTGGACCTTAAAATTGTTGGTATTTCCCCAGATCCCAATATAGGCATAGTATTGGGATTCAGGTAAATATTCTGGGAACCCAAATTTATTTGGCTCCATTATACCCTATGGGTACCATCCCCATAGGATTAAATAGAGAATCAATTTTGGGGTATCCAGGGCTTGGGGGGCTGTTTTTTTTTTAGGTAGAGGCACCAAATTTGTAGCATTGCTGCTGATGCCTCTCCTCAAACCCCCCCCCCCGGTTTAAAAAAATTGGACCGAGGGGTCCAATTCTATGGGGCCCCAAAGAAGGTGCCCCCATCCTCTATTGCTTTCAGTGGAGGGAGGGAAGGCATTTAAAAAGACTGTGGTATCATTAAATGCCTTCTGAGTTCACTCACTGAGTCGCATGCGGTGGCGGCATGGGCCAGTTTGGAGAAGGCATTTAAAGAGGTCTCTGTGGTACAACTCAGCAAGTGAACTCAGAAGGCATTTAAAGATACTGCAATCTCTTTAAATGCCTTCTCCAAGCTATGCCCAAATGAAAGCTGAATAATATCGGCTTTTATTTGGGCACTGCTATATCAGTAGCCGAATCAGATTAAAGAATCTGTATTCGGCTGAATAAACACCCGAAAAATACCGATAAGGTGTTTTTTAGGTATTTATTCGGTTCAGTTTATATCAAATGCACACCCCTAGTCTTCACTGTGTGGCTGAAGTCATTTTGTGTCTCACTACACCTCCTGTGGCAGCCATTTTGTGGATGCGCCCACCACACTGTGTTGGAATTCCAAAGGTGCCCACAGGCTCAAAAAGGTTGAGGACCCCTGGAATAGACAAACACGGTGATGGTATAAGCCATCTTCATATACTCACAGTGGTCTGAAAATGCATAGATTGATCTATTGATCTATGGTGGTGTGTGAGAAGGTCAAGGCTTATATGTGTGCCCGGGGAAGCTACATGGCCCTTATCTATGCCTTCTTCTTTCCTGTCAGCAGTGAGAATTCCAGGGTAGCCTTTCTGTTGTCTTCAGAGGGCTGTGTACTAGAGATGTGGGTTCTCTTTGTGATCATGGGCTTAGTTGCAAACGTTTGGACTGAATATACATCAGAGAAATGGAGAAGCAAGCACTCAGGCTGGCGCAACCAGCCCTGACTCCAAACGGTCCTCCCAAAGAGCTCCCCAGCGTCTGGCATGCCTGGCGCAATGACATCACCCGTAGGTGACATTATCACACCGGGCACGTTACCAGGGGGATGCTCTAGCATTTGGCAACCCCCCCCTCTATGGTACCATAGAGTTTTTGACCAAATGATAGAGCACCCCCTGGCGACATGCCTAGCATGATGACGTCACTTCTGGGTGATGTCATTGCAGCACGTGCGCAAAGAGTGCGCACCAGAACATCCAGGAAGGGAGCCTCTGCCCCCCTGCTTGCAGAAAGTAGGGACCTGCAAACCCCAGCCCTTCGCCTGGAAGAATTCTTCCACACACTATTTCAGAACACTTGACAAGGCTTGTCTCTTCCAGTCCTATTGAGACTGAGCTGTTTTTACTGGTCTCTCCTTTCTCAGAAACATTTATCTCGGACTCCTGGTTTCCCTGAAAGGGATGATCTTCCTCCTCTATGCTGTCCTTCTTGTTTTGATCCTGAAGCGGGTCGGACAAGACAACGGTCTGGGAAAGGTCTCCCAAAGCACAGAAGTGCTATCCGCAAAAGTACCAGAAACTGGTCTGGGAGAGTCTGCTTCCATGGAAACATCCGTACATGAAGACACCTTCTTGTGAGAAAAGCTGCCACCTGAAATGCTCGATGCACCTAGGCCCCGATCCAGATGTTTGTACAACCTGCTCTTCTGGCACATCTCGATACTCCAAGGGTTGGTTGAATCATCGGGGGCAGCACCAGTTATCCATTCTGAAAGAGAAGGGAGCACGGGCCTGGCTCCCCGCCCAAACTGACAATCCGTGCTCTCGCCAGTGACCTGACTGCTGATTGGCTGCTGCCTCCTGGCCGCTGGCCGGCCGGGAGGGACTTAAGATATTGTCGTCAACAGAAGCGAAAGAACAGCCCTCGTTTGTGACTGCAAATGCAGTTCCTCACTGGGATCAAACTGAATTCTGAAAACGTTTTGTGTTCCAGTTTCATTTTTCACTAGGGTTGCCAGCTCCAGGATGAGAAAATCCCTGGAGATTTGGGGGTGGAGCCTGGGGAGGGCGGGATTTGGGGAGGGGTATAACGCCATAGAGTCAGAGGAGTATAACGCCTCAGCAGGGTATAACGCCATAGAGTCCACCCTCCAAAGCAGCCATTTTCTCTACAAGAATTGATCTCTGTAGTCTAGAGGTCACTCACAATTTGGGGAGACGGCAACAGGGTTGCCAACTCTGGCTTGGGAAATACCAGGAGATTTTGGAAGTAGAGCTTGGGAAGGGTGGAGTTTGGAGAGGGGAGAGACCTCTGTGGAGTGGAGTGCCATACAATCCGACCTCCAATGAAGCCATTTTCTCCACGGGAACTGATCTCTGTCATCGGGAGATCAGTTGTAATATTTGAAAGGCTGTCATGTAAAAGCTGGAGCAGATCTATTCTCTCTTGCTCCGGATTGCACGACTAGATCGAATGGGTGGGAATTACAAGGGAGACGATACCGGCTAAATACCAGGAGAAACTTCCTAACTGTAAGAGTGGTTGGGCAGTGGAACAGACTGCCTCAGGAGGTGGTGGATGCTCCTTCGCTGGACGTTTTCAAGCAGAGGCTGGAAGACCATCTTCTGGGTATGTTGTAGGGCTATCTTTCGGCGATGCTCCTGCAGAGTGCAGGAGGTTGGACTAGATGACCTGCAAGGTCCCTTCCAGCTCTAACATTCTATGATTCTAAGATCTCCAGGTGCTGCCTGGAACCTGGCAACCCTAGATGGCAAACCCCCTCCCATGTGATCTTTCTTTTTGCTGCAAACCAAATCCCACTTTTCCGTGTGGTTTTTTTTTTTGCATCAATGTACAAAACTCAAGTTTTATAATGCCGCAAAACTCCCCCAAAAGCAGCAGTGACAAATATAAACACGAGGTGAACCAAAAGTACTGTCAATGAGAAGTACACCCTATGAATCAAAATGCAATGAAAACGGTGGCATGAGGTCATCCCTCGCTCCTCATCCATATGTAGACGCAGGGGTCATTTCGTAGAAAAAGAAGTGCAGGACCTCATTAGCATAACTTATTTGCATAGGCCACACCCCCTGACATCACCAGAAGTGTGTCAGAAGGCAACACCCACTGCTCAGGCTCCACTGGACTGTTTTGGATTGCTAGCTATTGGGGGGGGGACGCGCAGATCTGCCCTCACAGAGGAGGGAGAGCTTGTACCTGAAGGTGGGCCAGGGGCTCTGCAACTTACCTGGCTGCTTCTTGCTCCTCGTGGCCCAACTGAGGGCTGCTGGGAGCAGGGGGTGGGGCTTGTTGCATGTGCCTGCCCCCTGGGCTCCTTACTGCTGGAGCTCCACTCCTGTGCGCTCCTGCAGGAAACTACTCCTGTGTAGATGGAAGCTGGGCAAAGCCTTGCCAGATCAGGGTTGAGAAATATCTGGAGATTTTGGGGGTGGAGTCCAGGGAGGGTGGGTTTGAGGGAAGGGAGGGACCTCAGCAGGGCCTAATGCCACAGAGGCCACCATCCAAAGCAGCCGTTTCCTCCGGGGAACTGATCTTGGTTTTCTGGAGATCAGTTGTAATAGCGGGAGGTCTCCAGGTGCCACCTGGAGACTGGCAACCCTCACTGGGCATGACATTTTTTAAAATAAGAAAGAGGCACCTGTCTATAACCTTCTTCCATCAAAACATTGGAGTGTGGCCCCGAAAGACAGGGAAGTATATTTGACCTTATTTTAAGCAAGCTAAAGAACTGACAATGGGCATACAGAAAACCTGTCCTTTTCTTTGGAGTTTTTTTTTTTGCTCACCTCAACACTGATATCTGTGGCAATGAAGCCCCTCTGATTTCCTTTCTTTCCCAAATGATGTCCAGTGGTGTGTGTGTCTTTATTGCTCTATTTATTGTAAAATGTACAGCCTCCTTTCCAGGGGTCATTTCGTAGAAAAAGAGGTGCAGGAGCCCATTAGCATAACTTATTAGCATAACTTATTTGCATATGCCACACCCCCTGACATCACCGAAAGTGTGTCAGAAGGCAACACCCACCACTCAGGCTCCACTGGACTGTTTTGGATTGCTAGCTATTGGGGGACGATGACGTGCAGATCTGCCCTCACAGAGGAGGGAGAGCTTGTACCTGAATAAAACTTGGTCTTAAAGGTGCCACTGGACTGTTTTGGATTGCTAGCTAT